AATATCAAAGGCTATGTAAACACAAAGAATACAAAAGCAGGAAACATTATTATTTCACTTGCATCATCCTGAAATGAAGAACTGAACAAAAGCCATGCAGAGTTCTCCATGTTTGGATAGCCTACAATTATCAGCCGAGACTACATCTTCCTTTTGGGACTCTCTAGAGGCTGCATTGTTCCTCCTCCTCTTCGCCTTTTCCCAACAACAGCGCATCAAGGCAGAAACAGCACCCCACAACTTAAGTCCTACTACCCCATGGCTCCCATTTCCCTGGACTTAACAACTGCTACAAGAGCATTAAGCCTTTCTAGTTCATGCCTGGAAGCACTGCTGCATCCCACATTGAAACTCTCTACCTAACCAGATTTGTTATATGTATAAAACATCTACCTCCTCATTTCGTATGTAAACTAAAGTGTTTAGATACACCATGGCATTGCTCTAACATATAACAACATATAACAACATAAAAATAAAGCTGACTACATAAACCAATCACATCACCAATCACCAATAAACAAAAATCAATTCATGACCTAAGGAGGTAAAAATTAAGATAAAAATAACTCCATTTTTGAAAAGTAAAACACTTTAAATTTATCATGTTTTCCATCTCATTGTAATAGTCTTAAAAAAGAAAAAGGCTGACCAGAAATCACAAGCGCCTTAAATGCTGCTTTCCAACAGCCATGATAAATATTTTATAAACCACTTCAGTAGAAAGGACTAATACATAAACATCAATAATAAGGTAACTTTGCTATCTATGATCACTGGCAAAAGTATCAGGACTGGGAGAGCAGAGATACATTACAGGAGCCAAGTCAATATATCACCTCTCTTCTTGCTATTTCACAATACAGCCCTGCATCCACACTGCAATCTCCAAACATCTCAAGCTTTATTCATGCCCCTGTACCATTTTATAATAACATTTTACTTAAATGTCTCCTGTAAGAGCTGGCCATTATTAAAAAGAGAGAAGATTTAGAAAGTCTCAGGTTTCTACGCCTTATTATTTTGTCTTTCTAGTTGTGGAGAAGAAAAGAGGAGATAGTTTTGAAACAATTCTCTGGCACCACAGCATTTTCTGATCATTTAATAGAGTAGCACGAAAATGATACATAAGTAGTGCATGATTTTTGTAGGGCACTAAGCCAAGAGAGGAAAAAAGCCACACCAAGTCCTGCAGCCAGCATGCTGTGCTTTCAATCCCCAGTCTGCAGACCTGTGGACTACTTCTAAACAGCCAGAAACAACAGAATGAACAGCAGCAACACTGCTGGTCAACAAGCTGGAATTCTACACACACGGCTCCCCGGAAAGCTTTAGGGAGTCCAAGAATAGAACAAGGAAGTTAGTTTCGCGCTATATGAACAGCATCTCACAACGTATTCTGCAGCTCGGGCAGCATGATTGCTACTGCTTTGCTCCCTGGAGCAACTTGCCTGCAGGTGTTCGCACAGGCAGGCAAGCATGCATCCAACATCCAAGCGTGACTGCTATAGCAGCATCGACCCCTGCTCCCCTAATCCCATCAAAACTCTTGCACCACAGATGATGTTCTGAGCAATGCAGAGTCCATCCAGTGCTCCTGACACCGCTTACCCTCAAAGTACCACAAGCCTTGCTGAGCAAATACAGCTAGCGATCCTGTTGCAGAAGCAAGAATTTCGCCAACTTTTCACCTTTGCTCCAGGCAACAAAGACAACTTTGGAAAAGAATGTAGGAAGAAAACTCCTGAAAGTGCATTTTAACATTTTTTAAGCTATTTGAGAAGATATTGCAGTTACAAAAGACCCCAACTGATACTAATTTAAAGAGAGATATAACTACAGACTGCTTCCACTTGGTATGTTAAGGAATATAGAAATTCTCTTAAAGAATTATATGCTAAGGAAAGTACTGAATGGTGCAACTGGGTAATTTGATGTTTCATAACACACTAGAAAATTTAATCTTGCAATTCTTCGGCAGAACTTCACAACCTAGACTAGAACACCTTTACCTGAACCTTGATTCATGAATTCTGAACAATGAAATAGCCACACACATTCTTTTGTAGACTTTTCCAGTAACTAAAAAGTGCAAAAAAATCTAAAAAACCCTCTGTGCTTAAAAAAAAGTTAATCTTCACATTAAAGCAAAACTTTGTTGCTTTAAAAATTAAATGTCTGATTTATTACATTATGTTCTATCACATTTTACTGCGCTGCTTTCATTAACTCTAGCCATAAAAGCCAAGCTGTGCTCCTGAATGTACTGAGGGCTGCATGTATGTGCTAGCAAAGAAGACTCACAGTGGTAAACAAGGACAGAAAAGCCTTACAGAATGTTCTGCTATGCAAACGTATTACCTAAAAATAGCTGGTTTTGTGACATTTATGACAGTTTTAGTTCAAATCCAAGAGGAAGAACATTTATTCATAGATAGCTGTTACAAAAGGAGAAAACAAACTAGGTATTTATGACACACAGTAAATTTGTGGGCTCTAGCTCTGTCAGGAGCTGTCAGGTTCACCAATGGTGCTTTTAAGGAAATTACCACCTTCTGATGGTGTAACCTCCACCCTTATATAGATTTTGTTATTCCTGTAGGAAGAACAGGCAGAAGCACAAGTCTTGTGCATGCTCCTGCTGCTGTAGTATACAACCCAGCAGATGATCTTACACCTCCAGCATGTTCAACCCTACAGTCACGGCATGAATTCCCCAAGGAAAATGTAGACCGCATTAAACAAATTTATTCTCCTATTTCAATCCTGACTCCACAGTTCCCTTTCTGGAACGACATACAAAGAATTCAACAAGACCTCTTCTCACAGGACCCTCAGTCACGTTCCTTCACCTACGGCAAGACTGATTGCTGGGGCTTAGCCCACTGTGTTACAGACCTGCTCACCTCCCGTCACAAAACGCTTCATTCAAAAGCTCTGTATACCTAGCAGCTGACCAATCACTGACTCTTGCCAGTATTCAACGCTGTATTAGTGACCTTTAAGACAAGTAAATCCAGTTAGACTTCAACAAACAACAGTCCTAAGAAAGTGATGTCATTTTAGTCATGAATTCTGACCAGCTCACAGGCCACTTGCTCTTGATGCCCCTGCACACCTCCAGTGTTGAGAGAGCACAATGAGTGCTACCTAGCAGTTTCAGCAAACGGGGAAGGTAAATGTAAAACCAGCTTCTGGATCCCCACACCCATGGACAGTATTTCTTTCCAGGAACTGAAACACAGCTTTTGGTTTATAATTAGAGAGAGTAATGCAGGGGGTAATCTGTAGGGCCCTCTAAGCAGAAAATCCCTTCCATCCCTGCATGGGAATCCAAGGGTCTGGGCTTCCTCCAGAACTGTGTCTTAAAGCAAAACAACTGTTTCATGAAAGTTATCAAGTGAAAAGCCTAACACAAGCCTATTGCCTGCAGCAGCCAGTGCTAATCAGCTAAAGTTTTAGTCCTTTGCTCCAAATCAGGTGGACACTGTGCAAGCAGGTTTGGGACTGTACTCCTCAGAAAGGGAAGGGAAGAGGCGGGATAAGATCTGAACCACTGCAGAGCAGGTGAAAGAGTCACTCATTTCCTCATTCCTGGATATGGAGAGAAAAGGCCCAGAACTATCTCACTCCGACAAGACACCAGCTCATGGGTAAATGGTTTAGCACATAGCCTTGAAAGCTTCTCATTTTGGTAGGAGCTATCAATGACCAATCACGTTTTGCATTTACTGAAAAGAAAAATTACATTGAAATCAGAGATCAAAAGCGCTTTGTCACAACCTCTTTGGAAAAAAAGATGCCTGAAACTATGGAAGGCCTGCACGGAATTTTCCTTCTGTACACAGATGCAGAAGCCAGTCAAACAGACCCTTTGGCTTCAGGAGAGACACAGACCACTACACAGCAAGGAGCAATCTATGCTCATTGAAAGCAACAGAGCAGAAGCTCTTGGGAGACGCCTGCTGCCCACAGAGGGAATACGTTCAGCTTGTGAACTACATTTAATTGCAGCCAGAATACACATCAGATAAAACAGAATTTCTGTGAGGAACAACTTGGTTAATGACAAATTGACTGGTTGTATCAGTAACCCAGTTTTTTAATACCAGATTTAAGCACCTCTTACCCTGCTTTTTAGGATGAGTTTACAGACTCCCACTAACTCAAAGAAGATGCAAAAAAAGATTTTTAAATCACAGTCCTGGACCCAAGTATGCACCACCTTCTCTCAGACACACTCAAATGCTGCAGCTTGGCTCAGTGCTCATATTACACAGATTACTGTATTAACAGATGAAGGTGTAATCCTTGGGGAGCCTCCCAATATCCCAATCTAATAATTAAAAAAACCCAACCAAACCCCAAACGACAAATCCCAAACACCTCTTACCTAAGGAACTATAGAGCACTACAAAATACCAGTTCAGCAACACATTTCACTTTAGAGAACCAAAGCAAACATCATGACTACTTTGCGATGGGCTTACATTACCACAACATAAATACAGTAACCTGTCAGGGTTTAACAGTGGTTATTTAAAAACCAACAAAGACTCCTTCAACATCCTTCTTCAGGTTATTTTTACTGAAGTCACAACCTCTAGAAATGTTTTAGACTGCAATCAGCCAGACATATTTGTCTGAGTACTGCTGCCTTTAAGAGGTCTTGGCACAAGCACTGTATATTTAATTTTTAATTAACTCTCAATCCTGCAAATATTAATTTTTCATTCTATTTGTCGACTTCGTCTAACTCTTATCAGACAATTAAGCCCTAAGTCCAGAAACTGATGGAAAGGCTCATTAAGCATCTGCTGAACACTAAGGAAGGCTTCTAATTCTGAATCAAGCTTTATTCTCTCTCAATTTTATGACTTTTCAACTTCCATTCAGTTAGCAACTGAGTCATTTTGTGAAAGCAAAAGCATATACATTTCCTGAAAATGTAACAGACATCAAATTGAAGGCTGTAGAAGTGACTAAGGAAGACACTGTACCTGAACAGAATGAAACCAAGTGACTCAACAGCTGCCCGCCTCACATCATCATTCACATCACTCACCTACAAAAGGGAAAATAGGACGTTCAGAATATAGTTAAAACACTTGACGACTCTACAACATTTCAGGCTACGTGTCAAGCACACAAGTTAATCAAGAAGACAGGATTGTAGAGAAGGAAAGTTAGCAAACATGTCCAGCCTTAGCTGAAACAGCCTCACCTTTGTTCATACGCTGTGCCTGCAAGCCTATCAAGGAGCAGACAGGCCTCACCTTTTACAGCTTAAGTCGTTTTTTCCCCAGCCCACCATTACACAGACTATTCACTGCAAACCCACTACCAACTACCTTAGGACCATGTTTTAGTTTTTAATAGGTTCCTTTTTTTGTGATACCAGGTTGAATATTCCCTTGCCGAAAGTCATCCTAACACCAGAAGGCCCTGTTATTTCTACTCACAGTATTAAGGAAAGCTTCTGTCACTTCACAGTCTCTGATTTGGACCAGAATATTAACACTGTAGACACAAAGCCTGTCAAAGTGATGTGCTTACTCCCTCACCACAAATTTCTTGCTATGTGCTCCTAAGCCCACAGTACTTACAGCCACATGCAGTAGGCGTCTGATAGCCTTGTTGTTCCCTGAGCCACAGTATGCCATAGCAACAGTGTACATGCCAGAACGACGGAGAATTGGATCCTGGAAGAGAAAGCATCAATATTTAACATCCATCCAAACAGGGACTCAGTAATTCTGACTCTAAATCTGTTCCACTCTTGAGCCCGGAATCCGCAAACAGGTAGCCTCACTGCTTAATTGTTTATTTTAGGATGAGTAACGGGACAGCCACCAAAGCAGGGCTGTCATTACCAATTTCAGGGGGACAGAAAGTTGCTATGCCACAGGCTGCCAAAGGGAGTATCTGGCAGATGGGTCATTCTGCTTCTTCTCTGCTATTTGCTATTGACCACTACTAGATCTTTGAGAACAACCCACCTACAGCAAGCCTCATCTGGTTTTAACCATTACACCCTGTTCTGCTCCTTGTTGTGCTCACAGGACTATGGAGACAGAGTATGAGGCTAAAAAAAATACACAACAAAGCACTGCTGTTATTGTATTTTTGATTAGAATGAAGCAACCTGTGAAACTGCCCCACTTCAGACCTATGTAAGAACTTTCCTGGTCCAAAACAGCCAGCCCACTGTAGCTGGCAATTTCACAAAAGGACAGGAAGGTCACTCATGTAATAAAGGGCCAGGGGTTAAATCACAGCTAAACTTACCTTATCTCTGCAGAGACTCTCAATGAGAGCATCTGCCTCCTCCATCCTCCCATACATGACCAGAGCAATTCCAACCGCAAGGCCTCTCAAAATCTTTTCATGCTGGGTTTCCTGTGCATAGCCAACCATGTCCTCAATAGCCTGAGCATTTTTAGATCCCAACATAACCAATCCCAGTGCCAGGCCAGCTGCCTCACCTGCACAGCACAGAAAAGAAAAAAAAAAAAATTAAAAAAAATCAAGGAAACACTGTTCCCAAAAGCAGTAAATATTTTATCTAGAAAATCACACAAGGCGTAGGCCAATAGATCATTTCTGGACACCACCATGCCCAGCAACCCCATTACTCATGGCCAAATGTGCTTGGAATGATAACCTACTCGCTACAACTTAGCGCTCTTCCCTACCAAGTTCAATTTTCTCTTCCTTGGGCCAAGAGCTGCTGAGATAATTTTCCTGTGAAGCCCTGCCAATGCAGCAGTAGTCCCCACAAGCTTCTCCAAGCCTATCTCTCAGCCAAAAAGGGCACATAGCTCTGGAGATCAACCACACTAAATAAAAAGCATACGACAAAGAAAAGAATAGAGCAAAATAAGGGACTGTTTAAAGACCTAGCGTGTTTTATCAATATTTGGCATAGTGCCACAGACCAGTCCTGACAGGATCTTTGAACATTACTGCCACATAACTAAAGAACCACACCAATCAGGAAAAGGTCAGTAAATAAAACACAGCTAAGGCAACCTAGAGGTGATCTATGCTGCTAACAGAAATCCTGGGAAAAAAAATCTCAAACACCAAAAAACCCCCAGATGCCTGATAAGGCCTCAGATGGTTATTTGCTTTGAAAGCAGAACATTTACCTGTCACTGCGTCATCCTGGTACAGATTTGTTTTCAGCAAATCGTACACATCTTGACGTGCTGTCCCCATGGCAGCCAGACCCAAACCCAGGCTGCCACCATGTCGGACAATCTAGAGAAGCATATGCAAGTTCAGTCACCATAAAACAGGGAACAATATGGCTTCAGCTGAAGCAGACGTTTTTCCATCAATATAAAGCTGCAAACCTTTAGCCCCAAACCACCCAACAATGATCTTTGACCTGTTAGAAATACCACTTTCACCATCTCGGGCAGTAACTCTGATGAGAGGCAGAAAACAGAATAGAAATGGCAGTTCAAAAGCCCATAAACAATGGGTATCAGAAGCTTCACATATAGCACAAGCGACTTTCTAGTATCTTGAAGGTCTTTTTCCCCACCGAGTAATTTACGTAAAACCATGCATCTGTGCCACATGTAAAAATTGCTGTCTAGTAATAGCTTTTGAATGGAAAGGTAAATCAGTACTCGATTAAACAGTCTACATCCTCTTTTTCTCCAACAATGGATACAGGAAAGGCAGTATATTTGCAGTAAGATGAGTGGGATCCATTCACAGAATTTTTGAAGTAGTCATCTCAAATTTCCAAAGAAGAGGGGAACATGCTGGGAAAATACTAACGTATTCCTAACTTAAAACTAGACCTTTCGTAGAAGTCTACAAACAGTAGCGGTCAAGTAAAACACTTCTTTTTGTACAAGATGCATTAAACCTACAGGGCAGCAGAGCATTTTGTAGCTTATTCTTTTAATAGCTAAGCAATAACAGTGCCTGAATACTGCAGATCCACCAGCAAAATAAAGTAGATATACAAGTAGTAAGAAAGATGAAGCCAGACTCACCGCCAAATATGTAAAAGTTTCCTAAAAATCTTACCTAGACCTTGAGCAATAGGTTGTTAAAACCAAGCTTTATATTTAAGGCCCACAGGAGGTTTAAGTATCTGCCATGGTCTTAGTTACCTCTAAAAACCACTTCTAAACCAGCAAGCAACTTTCCAGATACTCCCAACAAAACAAAGGCTCATTACTGAACCCAGTACGTACATCATTACTGGCATTCTTCAGCTGGTTCAGCAAATAGTCAATGATGTCACCACCATGGTTAGCATGAATGAGACCCAAGGCATAGAGGCCTCCGCCCTCCTGGTAGGCTGACCCTGGAGAAGTGTCCTTGGGTAGGTACGTTGCCATTAGCTGTAATGCTTCTTTCTCGTGACCCTGTATGTCCAGTGTCCAGCAGGAAGGGAAGACAGTGGGAGGTAAAAGGTGAAAAAACACTTCACAATATTTCAAAAAGTCAGGAAAAAACATGTTATAGCCATTACTTTCTCCACAAAAATCAGCCTTTCAGTGCTCTACAAACAGCAAAGAATCCCTCTGTACTGGGGTTTTATTAACCACAGTACACGAGTACTCGTCAATCACTTGGTCACTGATCTAAACCAGGACAAATTTTGCCTGAACCTACACAGATTCATTCACTAGAGCACTTTAATGAGGGTTGAGGGACACAAAACAATTACAAAGACTTCTTGCTGTTTCAGAACAGCTTTCAATACACCCTCCCTGTAAATGAATTTGAAGAAGATAACCACTACTTAGGTCACCATTCAAACGTACTGAAACTTACTACAGTAAGGACTCTGGTACTGTCCCAAAGCCACTGAAGAAACATATGCCTGCAATTTTAATAGCTAGAAACTATTGACTCTTTTCAACTCACAAAGGAAGAGAAGAGGAGCTACGCAGAAGACTTCCTCCTTCAGCCATGTTATCCTACCACCTTTTGGATGCTCAGCAAAACATGCCGTAAACTACACCGAGTATCAGATGAGATGGACGTGGTAAAGCACAGCTTTTCTTTAGTGCAAAGACACAAACTCTGTTACGCTGTGCCTTGCAATAGACTAGGTAAACTGGAGTGCTGGCATCATTCAGAATCCCCATTTCAACGTTTTCAGTGTTCACAAGTCAAGCATTTATATTGGACAGAGGGAAATGAATGCTGCGTTACCTTGTGTATAACACCCAAGCTGGCGGTAGCAGTAAACTTAGCCCAGTTAGTGGCCCTGGCCAGCCACTCCAAATTGTCTCTGGAAGACGAAAAGGGAAAGGTTATACAAAGTTTTTCATACAGTCTGTTCCTCATCCTGCAAGCAGGGTTTCACAGCACTGAAGACTGCTTTCAAACCAGAAAGCAGCTCCAGAAGGCAAGAAGGCTAACCACATTTCCACTTTAGACCTCTCTCCCTTTCATCAGCCCTGATTTTCAGTTGGTCATAGTCAAGCTTCTAGACACTGGTAATCTCAGTGAAAGATGGAGAAAAACTGCTCAATATGCAGCCCATCAACTCCCTGGGAGAAACTCTAGCAGAGTTTCTGGAGCTTTCCTCAAGTCCCTGGTAAGGTCAGCCCTGACATTTCCCTTCGAAGAGACATTCAGCACTGTCAGTCTCTACCAAAAAAAGATATGTCATGTCAGATATTCCCCAACTAGTAAACAAAGAGAACAGAAATTCCAGATCTCCACCCTCCAAACTGCTCATACGATTAGCAGTCAAATAAAGCCAGTTTGTGAGGAGAAAGAAAAGGAAACAATTCCAGCTTTTCCCTCTCTGCCTCCACATTAGTTTTCAGACCCTTTGTTTATTCTTCTCTAAGCCCACCCGAGTTCTGCAGCCACCCTTCTGGAAGTATCAAGCTAAGTAGGGCAACGATGTTGTCCAAAGACCTCTAAATGACATTGGAGCTTCCTTGCCATAGATTTACCTAAGGAACTGGTCACTGGTTGTACCACAATGCATAAAGGAGTTTGCTATAACTGTTGCTGTATGACACACGGAATTCCGCACCGCATCCTGAAAGAACAAAAACAATCACTATCACCAGTCAGCAAAAGATACACTCTAAGTCGCTTAACATGCTTGCCAGTACACTACAAAAATGGATTGTAATTATGCTCAATTTAACCGGCAATTTCCCTTTCATCAAAGTTAATAGATTGTTAGTACATTCTAATATATCCTGAATCCGTTTTTTGAATGCAAAACAATCCTCTCTATGAGCCTCTGTCAGAGATGTGATTACTTCAATTACAGCTTAACTGGAGAAACCCCCGCTTCTGGTTCCCAGAACTGAGCACCGCAGAGCGTGTGCTGCTAACATTTTCAAGCCATCCTCAGAACACTACGCAGGATCACTCCCAAGCACTTAACCAGTAGACAGAAAAGATCTTCCAGTACATTTGAAGTGCCTCCTGAAATAGATGAACCCACTGAGAAGCATCCCCTACCTTTTTTCTGATGATGTGCATCTCAGTTCACACATTAAAAACTTCTATGGTTTCCAGTAACCATTTAGCTTAAGAGAGTCTAATTTACTTGTAAGTTTTCATTTGTCCACCCTTGAGTAACACCTTCCAAAACAAAACCAGTTACTCAGACCACTAGCACTGCCCACATTACAATATCTGATCAGTTCTGTCTTCAATGTGGAAATACTAGTCTCTGAGCACGTATCAGCATTTCTTTAACCAAGCTGAAGGTGCAGCCTGACATAACACCTCAAGCACGATACCAGCAGCCTGTAACACACAGTCCTGGCTGACTCCCTCCCTCCTCAATCAGCAGCATTTGCAACAGATCAATTATGGAACTAGAGGGTGAGTTTCTCCATCTTACTGACCACACGGAAAACAAAATCACCCAAAAAAGGAGGGAAGAGAAGGATTAGTTTCTATAACCAACTGGAAAAACAAAAATCAACACGCTAATAGCAGCGTGTCATTAGGTCATACTAGCTGTAAGTTGAAACAGTCTTATTATAATGTCCTTCTTTGGGTACAATCAACTCTTAGTCAGCCTCACAGGCTCAAGTTTTAAATGTTAATTTATCATGACTAAAACACCAATTTGTATCCTCAAAACCCAGGGAGGCCATGCTAAAACATAAGATGATGTTGTAAAGCAACAGCAAAGTGGTCAAAACAAACAGAAGATGAATCAGATGAATCCAAGACAACCACATCTAACGAAGCCTCTTACCTTTGTGTTTTTGAGGATCATGAGGTCTGTATTGTTGTTTCGTATTAAAAATTGCAGATGTAACTCGATGGCCATTTCCCCACTTAAAATTTTAATCATTTTTGAGATCTGGTCCTTAGGCTCTGGGTTCTTTACATACAAGCAAAAAAAAAAAAAAAAAAAAAGAAAAAACATGAGAACTCAGTTATGGCTCTGTTAAAATGCAGCTCATGAGAAGCCACTCTGGTATGCTCCCATCACCATATGCCAAAATCTACCAGGTTTTAGGACTAAAAGAACATTTGTTTCTGCCCTTGCTGCACAAGCCCAAACCTCCCAGATAATCAAGTCCCTTTGTGCACAACAGTGCAGGTGGGAAAAGAGGCTCTTTGAAAAGGAATGTATTCTTTCATTGAAAGCAAAAGGATATGAGTGATATCTGATATTCTGCCAGCTGCTGTTTGGCCTTACAGATACAACGAGTCTCCTGCAAGAGGCAACCACGCTTTATACATGTGAACCTGTATTTCCATGGGAATGTTAATGAAGAGGACCACAAAGCCACAACACTTTGCATGACTGTGCTGAGCTGCAGCACCATTCTTGTGAGCTACAGGCTTTATTCAGAACAACTAGTAGAATGAGGACTCTCTTAATACATTCATCTTTCCAGAGCATTTTGAGAAAGCCTCCCTCTTCTTCACGATGGAACAGTTTCCACAGATTAAGTTCCAACTGAAGTCCCTTCTGAGCAGGATGGAAAGTACACTGCAGCTCTTTGTACTGACACTGTTAACGGGTCAGAGACCAGCCAAGCATAAGTAGTTCAGACCTTAAACTAATCCCCTCAATTATTTCTTTGTAGTCAGCGTTCTGAATGATGGAAGAGTAAGCTCAAGAACATTTCTGGCCACATAGATTGTTTTTAGGTACTTGTTCCTTGGCAGAATCAGCAATGCCAATGCAGCAGAAACTGAATCAAGACACCTTTTCTGCAGAAAAGCACTGTTTACAGGCTCCTTGATGGGGCAAGAAACTCGATCTCTTTTGTTTTCCTTGTGGAATATAATTTCAAGAAAACACTTCTGTTTGCCCTTGATTAATTTTTAAGTAAGTGATCTACAAGAATCTCTCAAGATTCCCAAGCCCAGTTTGCAAACATGCACCATGGAAAAAAAAAGAAAAAACAACTTGTCTTGGGTTTTACTTTGCCCTCTAGCAGCATTTCCCTTCCTCAGCATTAGGAGTGTCAGAATTGCATTAGTTATTCTATGTGCTGAAATGCAATTGGATGTGCATGTTGGAAGCAAACTCGCTTTCTCCAATACTTGGGAAAAGAAACTTAACACAAAGATTATAACCAGCTGGTTAACACAGCCACCACGCTAGCCGGAGGCAACACCTTTCTACTTCATGGAGCAAACTACATTACATCGGCATCACCTCCTGCCATTCCTGCAGAACAGCATCAGTTCTATCCAGCCAGAACTACAGCTGGATTTCAGAAGGAGAAAAAAAAAACAACTCATCAAGCCAATTCATTAGCTAAGGCTCTCAGCAGCAGTTAAATTTCAGGCCCTTTCTTCTGGAAAGAGTTCATTACGTCAGCATCAACAAAAGCAAACACGTGTACTAGATCCTTCCATCCCCTTCTTCAGGGCTCAGTAATTCCCATCAAAATCTACCCACTTCCCACTCTCCCCCAACTTTCAGTATCTGAACTGCTGGACTTTCAGTATCTGAACTGCTGGACTTTCAGTATCTGAACTGCTGGACTTTCAGATATTCGGTCCTCATAGATTAACTGTCATCTTGTCTCCAAGCAAGTCAGAAGTGAAATTCCATTCTTCATTAGCCAAACCAATTTGGAACCGCAGAGACTCAAAGAGAACACATAAGAAAAACTAAGCGAGGTATATTTTGGAAATGGCACTCACAATTTCTGCAGACTTCCCTGCACAAGTGCTTCCTGGTTTCTCTTCTGCTTCCATAGCGTCACTGAAATAAAATTAAAATTAAAAATGCAACCCAGTTCATTGTAACTAGTCAAGCACTAATTATGGCTGAACACAGTCCTGAAGAGTAGCCTGGGATTTGGAGATGATGACTGGAAGCAGGACTTGGACAGGACAAGGGCTGACTACCTGACAAGCAAACTCAATTTTCAGGGAACTTGAAGGCAAACGCCCAGAAAACCCCACCCTCTTATTCCACCTAGAGAGACAACAAAAAGAGAGATGCTGGTAGTGAATGAACAGGCAGAGATGGGTGAGAAAACAAGGTCAAACAAACAAGGCAGCAAGGATAATTACATCTTCCCCCAGAAGCCTTGAGCTCATCACTATTAAGATGGATGTTACAG